GAACAGGGGGATCTGAACTTCAGTCCTACCCTCAGGTCAGCTGAGATCAAATGTCAGTAGTGATAAGAGCAATCGCAAGTAATGAACACCCCCATCTGTGTGCCACATGCCGGAAGATAGTTTATGGACACTGTCTAATGCCTCTAAGCTTCAATTTTCTCACTGGTAAAATAAGAATGTCATCTTCAGAAACTACCTCACGGTGCTATCATGAGAACCACATGAGAAAACCAAGTTAAAAAAGATTTCTAAATTAGAAACTGTTCTCTAACTGATAATGTGACTTTTTAACAGTCAAAAATAATTCTCAGATTGAAGTAGAAAAACAGAATTTCTACTGAATAGATCAAAATTTAAAAGCTATAATCACTTCAATTTTTGCTGATTTTAAAGTTTAGTGTTTCCTTCTTTAAACAGTCATGTCCTTAAATAGAAAACTTTCAGAATTTCATTTAATTTACAATAGAAAGCCTAAACTAAACTTACAGTGTTGACCTTCCTCGTTAAAGCTGTACTCAGAAGTGTCAAATTTCTGAGATGACAAAAAACAAAGTGAAACACCAAACTTGAGGAAAGTAATTGCTGTGACACAAATAGGGACAAGAAGCAAAGTATCTGATTAGTCTCCGACTTGGGAATTTACACAGGTATAAATTTAGGAATAAAAGTTACATACTTTAGCTCAAAACTTTGAGACACACAGTCTCATACCTTTGGGAATCCTCAACGTTTCCAGTGCCTTCCCTTTGACCTCTTTATTCTCTTCCCCAATTTTCCCAAGTAGAAAGCATTTATTGTTTGAAGGAAGATTTACTCCACACAGAGATGTGTAAAAGGCAACAAAGCTATTGAGACATGTTTACTAGGCAGAAGGCTTGATTCTTTCCAAGTACAAGGCAAAAAATCCTACACGTATTCTACAGCACCAACTCGCTCCTGAAAAACAGTCTTGCAGCCTGCAAGATTCAAGATCTCAATACAAATACAGTCATGCACTGTGTAACCACATTTCAGTCAAGGATGGACTGCCTATAGAATGGTGGTCCCGTAAGATTATGATACTGTATCTTTGTGGTGCCTTCTCTATGTTTAGATACATAAATACAATTGCCTACAGTATTCATTATTGTAACATGTTGTGTAGATTGGTAGCCTAGGAGCAATAAGCCATACCACATAGCTTAGGTGTGCAATAGGCTGCCGAATCTAGGTTTGTGTTTATGATGTTTGTGCAATGATCAAATAACCTAATGACATATTTCTCAAAATGTGTGCCTGTCATTAATCAACACAACTGCAGTTAAATTCAGAAATCCTCATTGTTGCTCACAAGCACTTGAAAGTTGGGATATTAAGAAAGCAAGTGCAAGAATCTACTGTAGAGATGTGCATAGTCCAATTAAGCTTGTCACTGTAAAGTATGAAGGGCTGGGATTTGCATCTTTTGGCATATGGATATACAATGGAGGCAAAATCTTTGTGCAATGCATTTTGAGTGAATACTGTAGGAAGGAAACAACTTTGTTGGAGAGCAATAAGAAAATTATTTTACATATGTTTCCATGTTTTATTTTCTCAAATGTTTTGTTAATTATCTTAATTCACTATAGTGTCTATGCAAAACGTGGGCCTACTGATACGTTTGCCTGAATTAATCAGCTAATTCCATCAAACAATCAGATAAACTTTTTTCCCCATTGAAGCAAGTAATTGGTTAAATCATCCATTGGTTGCTTTCCCATGTTGCATATTTAGACCAAGATTTGATAAAATTACTAATACAAATGACAACAATAGTATTTAGTGAGCACTTAGTTGTGCCAGGCCCTGTGCTTTCATTTAATTCTCATAGCATCATCAACAAAGTCCTCTCATTATTCCCACTTTATAGATAATGCAGCTGAGGCTTAGAAGAGTTAAATAAATAACTTGTGCAATGTCAAATTGCTAGTTAGTGGCAGATGGAGTTTAAACTCTGGCAAAACAACCCACTTTGGTTCCAATTAACTAGTCATTTCCAGCAAATGTACTTTGGCATTTGAATTACCTAGAATGATCTTATTATATAATTTTGTTCTCCTCGTACATAGGTCAGCTTACTTTGAGACAGACCATCCAAGTGCTTAAAGTTATTTTAATGGTAAGTGGGTTAGACACATTTGAAATGCAAGAGTTGTTTTTTCAGGCCATAGCTCCTTTGTAAATAATTCATTATTCATTCAGCAGCTATGCTTAGTGCTACCCGTCACTGAGAGCATTGTGGGAGGGATAAATACAGAACACAGTCTAGTGAGAGAGAAGCACGATGTTTGAGGGGTGTAAACAAACGGCTAGTGGCATTTAAAAAAAGGCAAAGATTTGTTCTACTGGGACGGATCTTAAAACCATGAGGTCTTAAGACCTCATGAGTGGGTGGCATTTCAGCAACAACCTGGAAGAAGTGAAAAAGTGAGCCATGAGGTATCTGTTTTCTCTCCCAGACACCCCATGGCTGTTCTCTCTCTCAGACGCCCCATGGCTGTTCTCTCTCCTAGATACCCCATGGCTCAATTCTTCACTTCTTCCAGGTTGTTGCTAAAATGCCACCTACTCATGAGGTCTTCCCCGAACCTCATTTAAGATGAATCCCCAATACTCCTTATCCTACTTCCTGCTTGACTGCTCCATAGCACCTGTTACCTCTTGGTAGACTCATGCTTTTGCTATCTGTTGGTTTATTTTCTGTCTCCCTGCGTTAGAATGCAAGCTGCAGGAGGGGAGGGTCTTTGCACTGTTTTATCCACTAATGTAAACCTAGTACTCAGAACCATGCTGACTTAAAGTAGGGACACAATATATGTTTATTGAATGAATGGAGGAGATAATACTTAAGCTGGGCCTAAAGAATGGGTAGGAATTGGCTAGACACTGTTGGCAGGAAGAGAATTCCAGGTGAAGGAAATGACCTAAGCAAGTAATGGAGGCAAAAAGTTGTGTAGTTTATTTGCAAAATAGTGTGCTGGTCAATTTGGTGAAAATGAGATATGGCATGACATAGGCTGGATGTATCTACAGTACGTATACTTAAGTGAAGAGAGTGATTATGGATTAATTCCACAGGTAGTGAGGAACCCTTAAAATTAGGGCTTTTTAGCTGGGCGTGGTGGCTCATGCCTGTAATCCCAGCACTTTGGGAGGCCGAGGCGGGAGGATCACGAGGTCAGGAGTTTGAGACCATTCCTGGCTAACACGGTGAAACCCCGTCTCTACTAAAAACACAAAAAACTAGCTGGGCGAGGTGGCGGGCGCCTTTAGTCCCAGCTACTCGAGAGGCTGAGGCAGGAGAATGGTGTGAACCCAGGAGGCGGAGCTTGCAGTGAGCTGAGATCGCGCCACTGCACTCCAGCGCCTGGGCGAGCTTGAGACTCAAATCTCAAAAAAAAAAAAAAAAAAAAAAAAAAAAGAAATATCTATCTGTGGTGATAGAACTCATTTTCTGGAGACCCCCAGAAGAAGCCAGGACAAATGAGGAGCCCTGAAGCTTTTCTGGCTTCATGGTAAAACTGCTCTGGAATTCTGCTGAAGCATATATCGGATGCCTTAGAAGACTGTGAGTACTAGACATGAGTGATGAGGATGGTTGGCATGGACATTTTAGCAGAGTACTAGACATAGGTGATGAGGGGATGGTTGGCATGGACATTTGGGATAAAGCATGAGAGAGAGGATACAAAGAAATCATGTCATGATAGTTGGCTGTTGAACCAAAGGGCAGGGAAATGTTAAAAGTGTCTGAAATTACCTTAAGATACTAAGTAATAATCTGGGAGTGAACTGTTATTGTAGTTAAAAATTTCTCTGCATGTTTTTCATTTATAGTCACATTAAATACTCTATATTTCTAGAGAACACTGTGCTCTTTGCTTTACATTTGCTGTGTTACACTACTAGGCACAATAAAAACAGCAAGTTATTATATAGGGTCTTAATAACATGAAAGAATTAGTACAGCTTCCCCAGATGACTTATTTATAAAGAGAAATAAAGTTAGGTACCAGGAGAATTTGGCTGACAAATTAGTGAGTAAGTGAGGGGAAGCTCAGCTGTAGCACTTTTTAGCTGTTATACTTTAGAATAAAAAATCACCATGCTGCCTTAGGATGACCTTTTGAAGTTTGCCATATTTTTATTAAAGAAAGCATTGAATAACCAGTAATGTTGGTTGTAATTCCACAGCCACAAACAATGACAACTGCAGTCAATTTATGATGACCTTGTGGCATATCAAGAAAATTCCTCACACTTTAATGATTTAGCGGAAAATTAAAAATATAATTGATTTAATCGTATGGAGAAGAAGAAAAATTATGTTCAACCGTGGAAGTGACAAGTCCTTGAGCTGACTTTGCTTTTGAGGCAGGGTATATATTATTCACCATGTTTTACTGAGATTGGGTTGTATAGAACTTTAAATCCCCACATCTCTCCCATCCTCAACGTAAGCTATGGAATTAAATGCATTACCATAGGGGTTCACTCTCAAACAGAGATTTCATTATGCATATATGTTGAAATACCATGTCTTCAATAAATGGTATTGTAGGAACTATGTTAGGCTATCAAATACCTAATAAATAAGTCTCAGAGAAAACATTATTTTTTATATCGTGGGTGAATTTTGACCAAAAACCCCCTCCACACTCAACAAAATTATAATCTGTCATAAGTACTCCCTTTCAGAAAAGAAGCAAACATTTTCAGCTTTCAATGCCATCAAAAAGACAATGGATACTTTGGCTCCAAAGAAGGAAAATAGATTTCATCTTCTATGCCAATTCCTATAAATTGAGAGTGGCTTCCCGGGGCACTGTGTTGGGATGAATTCTGAGACTGCTTCCAGGCTCCGTAGGAAAGAGAACTGTGATCAATTAAGGAGTGGGGAGTCGCAGCATGTGCGCCATGCATTTGGTATCCACGATGAAACAGCATTTGAAAAAAATCAATAAACACCGCAGGCTTACCAGATAAGCCACCCACATCCATCTTCTTCAGGTTCTTTGCCTCCAGAATGACAACAGTCAGCTTACCAGCAGTAGGTACGTAGCGAAGGGAGAAGCAGATATCACCCAATTTCTCTTGCTAAGAAAACCAATAAGAAAGCATTAGTAATTTTCCAAATACAAGTAAATAGAGTTTTAACATATATATTGTAAATTCTTCAAGAGGAGGATTATGTTGATTAGAATTTGAAAATTTTAGATCCGTTGGCATTTACACAATGGTCTCCCATTGACTAAGGTATCAAGAGTAATAACAGCTTTTATTCTTTTTTAAGACCATCTATTTCAGTTTTTAACAAATATCATCTATACTTTAATGTTCATCAAAATATATCTATAATTCAATGGTGCAGGAAATGAGAACAACATGACTTTTAGAGTCTGTGCTCTGAATAGCACTGCAAAACTCTTGGCAAAATTTTCATATTTTTATTAAATAACTTTGAAAAAAGCCTAACGCTTTAGTCTAATCAATCTACCTAAATTTTTGTCCTTTTACATTTCAAATAGGATTACCTCTAATACTCTATATTTAGGTTTTTGGGAAAAAGACTTGCATTTGTGTTTCATTAAATTCTGTTTATTAATGAGAAATTCTGAATTCCTGATAGCTGAAATGTAACAAAGGATAAGGTTTTGCATTTTTAGTATTACTCATCTTAAGTGAGGTCTAACTTTTTTTCCTAATCCTAAAAATCTGAGCAGCAGGCTAGAAAATGGAAATCCATATTAACACAATGCAAATGCATCTCATAACTTCTCATGTTATTCTGCTGATACCATACCTTAGGCCCAAAGAACATTCAACAGTCCTGTACTCAGGCGTTTTTGAACAACTGATCAAATGTTTACAATGATGATGGTATAGGGAATTTTACATTTTTTTCGGAAAAGACTCCTACTCATTATCCTACCTTAAGTTTTTTATTTTCTAGGGTGATTAATTAAGAACTATATTATTGTTCAACATAAGTAGAATTTGCATTCACATTTATAAGCATGAGATAGGGATAGAGAGAGAGTGCAAGAGAGAGAGTTTGTTGTATGCCCCTCAGATACTGCAGGCTCTAGAGTGCTTTCTGACATGCAGGATGGCAAATCAGGACTTATTTTAGTGTTTCCCACAATGAAATGTGAATTCTGATGCTATAGAAGGCAACAGTTATGTCAGACTTCTGCAGATAGACTTTTAACATAGGAATGAGCTACAGAAGGCCATATACTAAGGCACTTTCAAGTTATACCCTTATTATGACTATATGTGTCTTTATCTATAACTTGACATATATGTTAAGTCACCCAGAGTCTCCAATGTGGAAATAGGCGCCTAGATGTAATTTAACAGGTAAGAAAATGTAATTCCCCCCTCTTTTTTTGGGGGGGTGTATTCGTTATATCCATTTTTCAAAAGAGAAAGGTTGTAATTTATCTATAATTGAGAGGTAATACATTCAATGTGTGAGGGAGAAATAGCGCCTCTTTCTGCTAAAGTAATGTCTGTGCTGGAAACATCACCATATATGTTTATGGCTCCAAGTCTTTCATTTCTTGAGTCCCCATAGCATTTTACCATACATCTCTATGTTACTAAGAACTCTGATTTTGTCTTAGTGTGTATATGTCTTAATTCTCCCACATGACTATAAACTCCTTGAAGACAGGATCCATGATTAAATTATCACTTTCCACACAGTTTCAAAACTTAAAAAGTGGAAACTTTAGAAAATACCTGTGTTGAATTATCTAGGTCATAACCCCCTTCCATTAATATAAATAATAAAGAGTTACTTCCAATGTGCTGAATTCACCTGATGTGCCTACACACTCTTAGGAGGAATTAATTTATACAACAGGAGAGGCTAGTGGAATAAATTACTCTTCAGAGTCTCTGAAAATAAAGAATGGGAGACAATATCATGGAAATTAATATAAAATATGGACAAATTTATCTGAACTTTATGGGACAAGAGAAATATAAATGAACAAAATTGCTGTTCAAAATGCTCATTAGGAGGAGGGCTCTTTTTTTTTTTTTCTCAGAATTCTGTCTGTTTTCCACAATAGCCTCCTTGGGGAACTGATTGTGTTGCAGGTTCAGGTTACTCTAACTCTTCTAATTAGGGATTTCAGACATCACTGCTCTCTCTTAAATAACATCTCCCTTTATGGGCCATAATCTAATTCCATGATTAATTTAGGGGCATTGCAATTGTGTTAAACAGAGAAATGTCACAAATGTCTTTCTTCCAATATCTTTTTATTCCTCAATCTTATGACACATAGGAAATGTAAAATATTTTACATAATACTTATTTTCAGAAGAGAGTATTTGTACAGTTTGAAAAAGCATGCTGGAAGCAGGAGAGACCTGTGATGTTACTTACAATTTTAAAGTTATGGGATGGTGGAAGAATGAGTGTTTGGAAGAAAAATACAGGCATTTTGGGAGAAATAAAAATATGAAAAAGTGCTTTTTTAAAAGCACCCTTTACAGATCTACATTTGCTTCATTAGTTTAAGAACTTTAACATGTAAAATTTCATTTGCTCATAAAATTATCATAATTGATATGCCAAATTGAATGTGTAGTTTATATTAATTAACTGAAGTTACTTTTCAAAAAGTTTTAACACTTTATTACTTCTGGATCTCCAAAATATTTGAAAGCTAGCCCTTGATTTTCCTGAAATTTGTGTCCTTTATGGGCATCAACAAGATAGAGAAAAACTCATTTCCAGGAAATGGCAAGGAAAATACCTAGTTTATACTAACCTTTGTCTTGTTAGTGAAGTTTTTGGAGGTTTAAGTATATGCTTCCCCTAATGCTCTAAGAATCAGCTTTAATAATTGTCTACCCAAAGTTGGAAAATTAGGGCAGCTTTCTTTTACCACCTGATGGTTTGATCCTAGATTAATTGATTTAGGACATTTGCAGATATGATTGTCATGTGTTTCTCACATGTTGTGGAGGATGAGAGACTTGAAGTTCATGTGAAACAAGACCTAGAATATGCATCCTGGGGAGGCCCTGATACTGCCTGCCAGAAGGACACTCATGGCAGGACGATCTGGACTTCTGTGTCATCCCCACAAGGTGTGTTCTATTCTGCCCCAGTCAAAACAAGGCTTGTGTTTGTGGCTTATATAGTAAGCCAGTGTTGTTACCCTGAATCAGATTTCAAGACTCATGCCAGTATGAATTTTTGGAAACAAATATTTTCATTTCCTCAGTGAAGTCTTTCATTGAACTTCTGTGATGAGAAGAAAAGCACTTCTGACCCTAGAGTGTTGTTCTAGCATGTGAAGGTTTTACTATATCTCTTGTCCATCAACATAGAGGAATTAGAAGAACTTAATAGTTTTATATGAAGAGTTTTACATCAAACTCTAATTTCACAGTTTTGGCATGCCAGTTTGGAAGAAAGATGGCTGTGTAGTAATTTATAAACATTTAATATAAATATTTTATTTGTCACTCCAAAGTTCTAGAAACCAAGGTTTTCTAAATTAAAAAGAAAGTTTTTCTTTGGTGGGATTATGGTGATGGAGACTAAAAGGGTTCTTGGAAAATTTGCAAAGAAAAAAGAAGATACCCAAATCAGATCCTTGCTGCTCCTTGACAATTTTGTCTGCTTTTTTTCTAGAATAGCCCTGTGAACTAGGTACTGTTATGTCCATTTTTTATATAAAGACTTTGAGACTCAGAGGGTATAGGTTACACAGCTGTCTCAGGAACTGGGGCAAACTCTTTTGACTCAAAATCATGAGTTTTCTTTACTAGTACACTGCTGTCTGGAATGATAGAAACTAATATTCCAGTTGGCCATCCACTTGGTTATTCCACTATTACTTTATATCTGTAACTAAATTAATGTTCAATACCAATCCTTCCCCTCAACTATTCTTTCCAACATCCTTCTGTCAGGGTCACTAACACATCTCAATTTTCTTTCCCTCTGTTTTCCTCTATTCATTTAACCCACAAGTCCTAATATTTCTCATTTTGTAAATGTCTCTAGATTGGATCCTCCCTTCCTTCCTTCCTTCCTTTCTTCCTCTCTCCCTCCTTCCTTCTTTCCTTCCTCCCTCCCTCCCTCCTTTCCTTCCTTCCTTCCTTCCTTCCTTCCTTCCTTCCTTCCTTCCTTCCTTCCTTCCTTCTTTCTTTTCTCTTTCTTTCTTTCTTTCTTTCTTTCTTTCTTTCTTTCTTTCTTTCTTTCTTTCTTTCTTTTTCTTTTCTTTCTTTTGTTTCTCCTTCCTTCTTTCCTTATTTTCTTTCTTTCTCCTTCCTTCTTTCCTTCTTTTCTTTTCTTTTCTTTCTTTCTTTCTTTCTTTCTTTCTTTCTTTCTTTCTTTCTTTCTTTCTTTCTTTCTTTTTCTTTCTTTCTTTCTTTCTCCTTCCTTCCTTCTCTCTTCTTTCTTTTCTTTTCTTTTCTTTCTTTCCTTCTTTCTTTCTTTCTTTCTTTCTTTCTTTCTTTCTTTCTTTCTTTCTCTCTCTCTCTCTCTCTCTCTCTCTCTCTCTCTCTCGCTCCTTCCTTCCTTCCTTCCTTCCTTTTCTGCCTTTCTTTCTTTCCTTTCACTTCCACATCCATGTCAATATGACCACCATCTCCACATGATACTTGCCACTATCACCACCACCTTCACCATCCTACACTATGACCTCTGCTACTACCAACACTACCACTTCAATCACCTCCACCTCCATTTTTACCATCAGCTCCATTGTGTTTGAGCCCTAGTGACACTTCTGTCATATTTTCTGAAATAGTCTGAGTAAAGACCTCTTTAGTTATAATCTCTCCAAAATTCAATGCATACCACATACTAATGCCAAGTGAATGTTTGAAAGGTCTGAACCCCTCTTCCTGACTTTCAAGAAGTTTTACACTTTGCCTCTGTCCTAAATGTCTAAACCATTTTCTCTTGTTTCACTGCTTCTTCAACCGTTAGAATATATTTTGAACCTGACCACATGCCTTCATTCATAGGGTTATCACTCTGGTCCAAGTTGGGTGACTAAATGTCCTGATTTGTTCAATATCCTCCTGGTTTAAGATCTAAAAGTCCTGCATCCTGGGAA